CTGGGTGCAAATTTCCATAGAAGATCAAAGAAAAGTCAAACACTTTCAATCCTTTTTCAAGCAAAAACAATTTCCAACAATTTATCACATCATGGATGAACAACTGTAACGTTGTACTCAAGAACAGCATCGCCATTTGTAATATTAAGGTAATTTGTCTTAACCTTAATAAACCCTCTTGCGAACCTAAACATTCCTCTTCCACCAACCACCGCCAGTTCTCTATCCCCCTCCATCACCGGATTCCTCGAAAACACACTAAGAGAACTCCCTTTAAATTTACCACTAGTGAAACCAAGATCAACATACATAACCAGGGTCAAATTTTTATCTTGGCTAGAAGATAGATACAGCCCTTGTGCATTGCCAATGGCTTGTGAAGTAATCTCTGGGCCTTCTGTCAGAGGATCATCAATGGCGAATGTGGTGCCGAACGGGGTCGGATCGTTCGGTTTCCCGGTAGTATTTGCACGCGCCACCATCACCGCCGTGGGTTTATTCCCACTGAGGGTGTCGTGGAGGAAGAAATGGAGTTGAGTTTCTTGCAGCTTCACTGGTTCATATGGTTTACTTTGGGAGTAATATTAGCAATGAACTGATGTAATGGCAATGCTGTGTACAACAATCCAAGCCAAAAGTATGCCTCTCGCCATCATTAATTTGTCTATGAAAATTCTAATGCTTACTGGAATTTATAGAAATAAGAAAGTGTATTATTCTAATAGAGATTATCTGGTCATTAATTCTCTATTTACTACATAATTATTTCCAAATAAGCAAATGGAAAACTTTGAATGGACATTATAATCGTACATTTACTGATTACCAAATTTTCAAAGATAATCTTATCTTATTTGTCAGAAACTATAAAATGGCATTTCAAATTGCAAATCTCTATTAATCAATGTTAACTAAGTCACTCGAATTATTCAAAAAATTTAATTTCGTTTTGCATTGACAACTGGATATATTGACCGGTATAGCAAAGTATTAATTGTTTCACATTGGCAAATAATATATTAATTTTTAATTTACGATTTGGTTTATCGACTTAAGATTTTTCTTTCTTTTTGAATTTCCGACAACGAGGTATAACACATTTATTTGAGTAAATTCAATATGCACAGACATGCTCTATTTAGTTTAAAATGGGTGACTATAAAACTTGAATTAGTACTTGTATGGGCTCTTCTGGTAGAAATGTTGGTTTTTTCCTAATCTTGGTTGCTTGTTCAAAACGATCAACGATTTCAATCAGTTTGGGCTCAGTACTCTTCAATCCCCCAAACATATGTGGTATGCCGATAATATATAATGAGAGATGTTTCATAGTTTCTTGAATTAAAACGAACGTAGGATATGTCAAATGTGAGTACTTGAATCAACCCCAATCTAATGTTAAAACATCAAATTATTTCCGTTTTCAAAAACTTCCAAGAACCATGAAACAGTGTAAGCAAAAATACACTTTCCTGATATGCTAAATCCTATATAGAGACTGTACCTTTTTGTAAAGCTTTACTCTAATTGTATAGCTTCAAAAGTCTTGCAGTCTATCATTAAGCACCATCATAGCCTCTTCGCCTCCTACATATGCCACCACAAGGACCAAAATCGGACCTAACTATTTAATAGTGGTGGAGAAATTCATGAGCAGTAACTATAATCAAGAAATGAAAAAAGAATACGAATTGACAGAAATAACAATACCACAAAGGAATGAAGAATCCCAAAAACCCAAATTATACAATCACACTTCAATAAAAACTTGAATAATGCTATATATACAAAATGGGAATGATCTTTATTTAGGGTGATATTAAATAATAAGGTCAATAAAGTATGTCTCATATCCGCACATTTAATTGACATTATCATTTCACCTCACAATACTTGCCAAATCACATAGTATTATTCTAAAAACTTAATGCGAAGAATTAACATGAATCAGATGATTATGTCCGTCCTTCAACTCATAGTAAATTTGTTCAAGAGCCTAAACTAATAATAAAAATATAGTAAACATGAAGTTGGAAAAATGTTAAGATGAGGTTAGACATGTTCATCGCTTCCTAGTGATGTTTTCAGGGGAAAATCTTCATTGCCCATTCATCTTGTCTAAAATTGACAAAGCTGATGCAGCAAAAATTTAATGCGAACCAAGAATAAGTCAAAAATGCGTCAGGTTTAAAAATATCTATGAACTCTTTGATTCATAAACGAGTACTCAGAAATTGATCCACAGATGATTATTTTCACATAATACCATTAGGATTAAGAAATTGATGAAAACTAATTTTTATCAAATTCAGTCAAAACAATCCAATCGAACTTCTAGTCCCTCGAGTTCTAATAATTGTAAAAGGCACCTAAACGAATAATAGAAACATAGTGAAAATGATAATATAACTGCAAAACAATAGGATAAAGTTAGTATCTTCATGACATGTCTTTCTTTTCGTTTTTTAATTTTTTAATTTTGACAAAATTAATTCAGCAAAAATGAAATGTGAGCAAAGAATATGACTAAAAATATGTTAATTCAGTCACCCATGAAGCCATATAGAGGGTTTCCAAATAAAGTCAAAGGGATCTCAATCTGCATCTTCTCATAAGTGTGTTCCAAAAAGGATGATGATGGAATTCTCATTTGTAAGCATTATGCCCTAGATCCAATCGACTTTGGACATAAAAGCTTCTGATATATAGTTGATGTGATTTATGGCAGATCTATTATTTAATTAATTAATATTAAATTGAATTAAATAATGGAGTCCGTAGATTCAAATCTTAGGAATTTGTTAATCACATAGAGTTGTGATTGTGAGGTATAATTACATATGATTGAATCTTAAATCATTCGTAGTCGTAAGTAATGACAAGATAAGGATATATTTATTATGGATAGACCATCACGTATAACATTTCTTACTTGTGAAGTAAGTAGCTGATTTCACGAGCTAAAGTGTGATGACACTTGAATGAATATGTGGATGTTTTATTATAGAACAAAATATTAAAGACCCGCAGAAATTACATATGGATAACTATCTGAGTGTTAGTGGTTAATCTCTAACATTCGGTAGTGGAATTGATCCTTCGACTTGAGGTCGTCATAGTGCCTTATATGAAGACAGTCATGCTTTGACGGTATTGGATGTTGCTTTGCCAATGATTGTCAATACGGCATCGCTCAAGTATGTCAAAAATCCCATGAAGGTTGTGAATGACCAATAGAGAATTTGTCACTCTTAGATAGTAAGAGATTATGATATGCATTTCATTTAATTAAGTCAATAGCGAAATTCTTGGCCAAGGTGTACTCAAAAGTCAAAAGGAGTTTTTGATTTATATTAACTTAATAGAAGTATGAAAGATATGATCGATAATCGAGATTAACACACTTGCATATCTTGCAATTGATCGGATCATAATGACGGAGGGATTATAATTTCACGGCAAATGAACGAATTTGATTTTTTCATAATGTCACATGTATTGCCCTGACACATTGCAAGATGTCAATCTGAGACGGCGAGTGTGAATTGGTGATAAATTAAAAAAGTGTTTTAATTTATCAATTTTGATTAGATCAAAATAATATTTTACGTCGTTAGGCATCGCAATTGAGAACCTAATGGATTGCACACAAAAGGAGAACTGGAAGATTGTGATTTATCAATTAATTTAATTGAGTTGCTTATTTATAGACCTTAATTAATTAATTCACGGATCGAATTTAAATAAATAGATTAATTAAATATTAAACCGGATCAGGCCAAGCATGTTTGGGCTTATATAAATAAGTTATTAGGGTTTTCAATTTGTAGAGATTTGTTTCATTATTCTTACTAGCACAAGAAGAAAATCATAATTCTACAATCTTGTTTTCTGGATGGATCACCGTTGGAGGCTAGATAATTGGACGGTTGTGGGTGACAGATCAAAGTTGCTGGAACAAAAGAATGGCAAAGAAATTTGCAGAATCAAAGCAAAAAATTATAAAGGAGTTTGTAGAATCAATGAAATGTATAATTTCCATCACAATTTCTATCTAAATACAAAACGGATCCTTGGTGGGAATCAAAATCTGTTTTTAATTTTCGTTGCGCATAATAAGTAGATTCCCAACATCATTATCTACTGACATTCTCTTGCGCCCATTTCAGGCTATCATGGGTCGAACTCTCACTATCTACCGACATTCTCTTTGGCCTCTTTTGCGTTAACACTTCTTATGGGCATTCCTAGTATGTAGATGACAAATGAAGAAAATCATCTATGAAAGAAAAAACATTAAATAAAAATCATGGCTTCTAATAATTATTTTCTCTTACCAACTAGTTAGGATTGCATATTTTTAAAAAAAATTCTCTTTTCAAGTCAAAAGGTGTTTTCTGTTATACTTTGGTAAATATAGTATGTCAACACACAGTAATTAACCTATATACAAGTTGTATTATATAAATTTCACAAATAGATAATATTCAGAGTTGGCCCATGAACGTATCAAAAAAGGTAAATAAAAATTGTTTTACTCGCACTATGTTCTATATATTATGTATTTAATTGGGATAGTGATATTATTGACTTTGTTGGAATGGATTGATGATCCTAATTTACTCCAATGCATTATTCTGGATTGAATTGTCCAAATGGTCATTGAAATTTGTAAAAAGTTTTCAATGGGTTATCGAACATTAAAAATCACCTAAATGGTCACTGAACTTTGCAAAAAAATTTTACGGGGTCACTGAACTTTAAAAATCACCTAAATGATCACTAAACTTTGCAAAAGTTTTCCACGAGGTCATTGAACTTTGTAAAATGTTTTCTAAGGATCACTGAATCCAGTGATTTCAGGAAAACCTTTTGCAAAGTTCAGTGACCATTTAGGTGATTTTTAAAGTTTAGTGATCATGTAAAAACTTTTTGCAAAGTTCAGTGACCGTTTAAGTAATTTTTAAAGTTCAGTGATCCCTAGAAATCTTTTGCAAAGTTCAGTGACCATTTGGATAATTCACTCCATTATTCTGATATGTTATACCTTTCTTCTGTTCCTGAAAATAGATTACATTTTTTCTTGATTGAAGAAATTGAGATTAAGTACTCTAAAATGAGAAAAGACAGCTCGACAAATTTGAGTATATTAGCTTTTCATTCTTTAGATACGACACTAAAAAAGGTCCAAAGAGGGAGAGGCCATGGCATGGTCCAAACATAAGGAACATGTAAAAAACCATCATTAAATGACCAAGGTGTTTTATTAATATCCTATAGATATTGCACCTTTTTTTTGGAGCGGTGCTCTAATTGTATAGCATCAGAAGTCTCGCGGTCTATTATTAAGCACCACCGTAGCCTCGTCGCCTCCTACATATGTCACCACAAGGACCATAAACGGAACCAATGTTAAATAGTGGTGGAGAAATTCATGAGTAATAACGTAGAATCGAGAATTTAAAATAGAACACCAATTGACACGAATTGACAGAAATAACAATACCACAAAGAAATGAAGAATCCAAAAAAAAAAAAAAAATCCCCCAATTATACTATCCTACTTCAATAAAAAAAATTGAATAATGCTTTATATACAAAAGAGGCCTGCTACACAAACAGGGTCTGTTGGGCTTAAGTGTCCTGCCAGCCCCTGTTTGAGTAGCATAACACTATACAAGATGAAAATAATCATTATGTGATGCGACATTAAATGATAAGGTCAATAAAGTATATTTCATATCCAAACATTTAATTGACATTATCATTTTACTTCACAACACCCGCCAAATCAGATAGTATTATTCTAAAAAACTTATTGCAAAGGATTAACATGAATCACATGATTATGTCCATACTTCAACTCATAGCAGATTTGTAAGAGCGCCTAAACTAATAATAAAAATATAGTAAACATGAGGTTATACATGTTCACCGTGTCCTAGTGATGTTTCAAGGGGAAAATCTTCATTGCCCATCCATCGTCTAAAATTGACAAAACTGACACAGCAAAAATTTAATGCGAACCAAGAATAAGTGATAAATATATCGTCATCAAAATATCAACGAAGTCTTTGATTTAAAAATGAGTACTCAGAAACTGATCTACATATTATAATTAGTTTCGATTCATAAATGAGTACTCAGAAATTGATCTACAGATTATAATTAGTTTCATATGATACCCTTTGGATTAAGAAATTGAAGAGTATTGTAAACAAGCCATAGCACTTACTCCTGGTAATTAGATTGAAACACATAATCGGTTGAAGATCACGGGGCGTTTCGAATAAAAGAAGACGACGTTTATTTAGTTTATTAATTCTATTCTATTATTTATATATATATTTGTTAGAATTTGTTGTTTGTCGGCCCCATCAGTCAAATAAAAAAATTGATCATTCCTTTGCTTTGGGAAGAGCTGATCAAAGGATTTCTCTTAGTTGATGCTACTGCGCATGTAGCCATTTTTATGGTAAAGGACTATGATCCAACTACTCGATGCAACAATCTATTAGATCGGGTCCTTAGACATCGTGATGAAATCATATAGAAACATAGTGACAATGACAATAAAATTGACAAAACAATAGGATAAAGTTAGTATCTTCATGACGTCTAATTTTTAAAAATTCATTTGACAAAATTAATGAAGCAAAAATTTAATGTGAACAAAGAATATGGCTAAAAACATGTTAATTCCGAGTATATTTCAAAGTGATGAGACCCATTGAGTTGACGCATACCCGATGAAGCCATACGGAGGGTTTCCCAATGAAGTCGAAGGGGTCTCAACCTGCATCTTCTCACAAGTGTTCCAAAAAAGGATGTTGACCGAGCTCATTGTTGGAAAATGACTTTTTAGGCTACTTTTGGCATAATTTTGAGTGAGACCCCTTTGTTCATTTTGGAATATCAAAGTTGATTTTTGTTTTTGTCCCTAAAAACATGAAATTATATATTTACTTGCCAAAAATGATGCTTGAATGAATGAGAAATTGGAGCTCAAATTGATGAATTGGAAGATGTTGATATATTAGGGAAAAACTTTTTTAAATTTGTCCAACATAGAAAGTTTACAAAGGCAAAGACCACTTATATATGGCTACACTTTGAAAGCGTATAATTATGTCTAGTATAGAGGCTCTCTTTACGTGTGCGCGTAAGGAAGTGCAAATCAATGACTAAATTAGAACTTCGGACCTTGAACTTGTGTGCGGATGCGACCTGTGAACACGAAGTCAGATCGTTTGAATAGCATTTAATGATCAACAAGTTTTACCAATATCATATAACGATCAAAGCGAGATCTACATGTCTATATCAA